CTGAAGCTTGTGAAAATAATTACTGATAGAAATCTTGTTAACCCCAAACAAGTCAATAATATCCTTCCTAATTGTGTTTCTGGTCATAACCTTGAACAAAGGTTGCAATGCACCACAAAACCTACGAAAACCAACATGGTCTACAATAGAAAGTGGGTACTCATGGAGGCATATCATCAGTGCAAGTTCTTTCCTAGCAACCTCTTGATCAAAGACATATTTCCCTACGGTAACCCTCCCTTCTGCATCTATTCCCATCTTCAAATTGGATTGTGTTAGACCTTTTCTAGCATGCCTAGACTTGCAAGTTTTAATATGGTCTAACAAATGTTTAGTCCCATTTCTACTTTCAGCTCCAAGCTTGTTGTGACACCATTTGCATTCAGCTTTCCACGCACCATTTATTTTCTTCTTAACAAAATCTTGCCATGCTGCAGATTTCAGTCTCTTATTATCATGTTCTACTTCTGTACCTTGTGAATCATTTATTTCGACGCTTGGAGCATTGGTTGGAGTGGGAGTGGAAGTGGAAGATGGTGTCAATGCAACTTGTGACTCAACGGTGGCAGCAGGGTTCGACATTCTGTCCACAAATAACATAATTCAATAATAGATCACAATCTGCTGCTATGTGCTATGTACTACCAAATCTACCAAATATACACTGAAATATACACTGAAATAGATCACAATCTTCTGTTTCATAATTTCATTCACAAATCACAAGGCACATTTGGAGTATTGGAGATGGAGCAATACCTCTCACTCTTTGTGATGTGCTGCAACCTCGCCGCCGGCCGCGCCCTGTGCGCCGCCGCCGCCGCCCTGTGCGCCGCCGGCCGCGCCCTTGCTGCCGTTGTCGCCTCCCCGCCGCGCCTGTGCGCCGCCGCCAGCCCGCCGCGGCGCCGCCCTGTGTGCCGCCGCCGCTGACTCCGGAGGGAGAGGACGAGCTCGAGCCGCCGGACGCCGGAGGGGAGACTGGAGAGGAGGGGAGAGGAGATGGTGGCCTGGCGGCTGGCAGGCGCCGGCGACGCCGAGAGGGCGAGATCCAGAGGCGAGCCGGCGAGCCGCCCACGAGCGCGCGCTGCCGCCTAGGTCACGCGGCTCACGCCACAGCCGCACGGGATGAGTGGATGACGGGAGGGGAGGAGAATGGATGTGGGGAGGAGAGAGACTGAGGGATGTGCTGCACTGCTGCTGTGCTGCAGTGCTGCTAGGGTTAAGGATTTTTTTAGTGGGCTGGGCTTTTTGGGCTTTCTTTGATCTATATTTTGAGGTCTATATGTACTCCCCGGGGCCCCGCGGGTCACCCGCGGGTGAAATCAGTCCCCCGTCCCCTCCCCGCCCAAATGCGGGGCCCCGTCCTCGACGCACCCGCGGGTCGAAAATCGGCCCCGCCCCCGCCCCCGTAGGGGCGGGTCCCCGCAGGGGACCCGGCCCCGCGGGGGAAATTGCCATCCCTACATGTGTACTGCAGATGATCTGAATTGCATTTGTAGGCTTTGTACGTCTGTTGGGCTGGTCTGCTCGGGAATCAGGGTGAGGCCTTGTATGATGTCTTAGTCTTGAGCACAACAAGCCAAGCTTAGGCCGAATATAAATGGGGTAGAGGCTATCTCAAAGCCCAAGTACAATTAGTTTACACCTAAATTTGCAAACTATTAACATAACCGCTACTACCTCTGTCAAAGATAAAATATATTTTAACTGGAGGAATTATGTTCAAGTGAAGAAATTGATAATTTTAAAAAAGAGTGAAGATATTTATGTAGTAGTTAGGGTGTGTTTCCTTCACGCTAAAATTGGAAGTTTGGTTGAAATTGGAACAATGTGATGAAAAAGTTAGAAGTTTATGTGTGTAGAAAAGTTTTGATGTGATAGAAAAGTTGGAAGTTTAAAAAAAAATTTAGATCTAAACTCATCCTAACATGAATGAGATGCACCGACAGAGTGGTGGGTTCCAAGTCACATAATGGAAGCCCGAGTTGACACCGGTCTCACTTGGGCAAGCATCTTCAACTACCCAACTGGCTAAACATGACATGATCGCTTGGACAACAACACTATAGTTGGAAAATTGGAATTTTTACAACTCTAGTTATCAGTTTAAATGTTATAAAAAATCTAAGAAAAAAATTACAACAGTTATATTTATATATAAGTAGACATATATAATATAGTAGATTTTTTAAAACTTAACCATATTGCAAAAAATTTATGTCCAAACTCGATCCGTATAAAAATAAATGAAATAAACAAAGGACGTTCATTTAGGAATAGTACTCATTATTCACAACCCAATTTGTTCTTTTTTTAAAAAAAATGTGTGGGTTGAATTTAGTGTCGCATGTCTATGGAGTGACATAAAGCATTCTAATCTATGTTGAGAAACTTGTTTAGAATTCTCGTGACCATTAACATAATAGTTCCTCCGTTTCACAATGTAAATGTAAGACTTTCTAGCATTGTCCACATTTATATAGATGCTAATGAATCTAGACATTATTATATATATAGATTCATTAGCATCTATATGAATATGGACAATGCTAGAAAGTCTTACATTGTGAAACGAAGGGAGTATGTAATAAATAAGCATATGTTCATATAGTTAAGTTGCAAACGAGCTTTCCCCCACGTAAATGACCTAATTCCAAAATATAGCAACCTATAATTGGATTCGATATAGCAAGTTTTTAAATAGAAAACATATTATAGGTTGTTATATGGAGTGACATATAGCATCCTAGTTTTATGAATGTGGATATATGTCTATTCAAAATCGTAGTACTAGGATATGTCCAATCTAGTTTCATGCTATTATTTTTTTAGAATAGAAGGAGTATTTAACAAACAATACACAGATTTGGACTTTAATTTATATATATATATATGTGTGTGTGTGTGTGTGTGTGTGTGTGTGTATGCATATATATATATATATATATACATATGTATAGGTATATATATATATATATATATATATATATATATATATATATATATATATATATATATATATATATATATATATATATATATATATATATATATATGCATATCTATATATATACATATGTATAGGTATATATATACCTATACATATATACCTATATATATATATATATATATGTATATGTATATATGTATATATGTATATATGTATGTATGTATGTATGTATGTATGTATGTATGTATGTATGTATGTATGTATGTATGTATGTATGTATGTATAATTTTCTCAATCACTCAAGTTATGCTGTACAGTTCGTACATCTGCTTGCTTTGCTTTCAAGTTGCATATTTATCATTACATTGTGTAAATACAAAATATGCTCTCGGATGTGTTTATAAGGATATGATGTAAGTTGATGCTATTATAACGCGAGTGCACACATGAGCGTCTATGTTTGTGTTATGTTTCAATGGAAAAAAACATCTCAATGTAAAATTAGCAGTATGAAAGATAATTGGAATAAAATGACTTGACCTGGTCCTGCATTTTTCCATTTTCCTTTTTTTTTATTTAGACTCGGTCCTGTTTGGTAGAAAGTTGAATGCTCAGTATAATTTGACAAAGTCTGATCCAACACTTTGACTTCAGGTCATGCTAATCCGGGCCATCAAATCCACATCTAACAAAATTGAAGCCATCAAGTCCAACAAGCTTATCAGAAGCCACAACAAAGCCAATGCAATTATCCAAAATAATAAAATTCTCACAAAAGAAAAAAAACCATCTAACCGAAAATTGTCACACCAACAAACTCACCATCTTCCTCTCAAGAAGAGGAGCAAGCGTCGCTCTCCATTTCACCGAAAATCCTTCGTACTAGGCACCCGATGCAAAGCAAAATAAAATAGGGCGTCGGCGGTAGCACATGCATGCATCACAAAAATTAAAAAATGTGTGATGTCGTATGGTGATGTAAGTTTTTTTTCATGTACTTGTTATAAATTTTTACTTCAAACTAATTTTTCTTTTGAACCGCTTATCCAATTTATGATCTGATTATACCATTATATTTGTTACAACTAAATCTTTACAACAAGATCTCATATGATTATATTCTGAGAAAAAAACGTAAATGTTTCAATAATTGAAATATTTGTGTTTTATATATGAGAACGAAATGTTTCAGCTAAAAGTCAACTTTGTTGCACATTTTTAGTTTTCTTATTGCAATTGTTATTTATTTAGTGTTGCACCCGATGTCATTTGAATGTTTCATGTTTCATATATGAGAAGGAAATGTTTCAGCTAAAAGTCAACTTTGTTACATAATTTTAGTTTTCTTGTTGCAATTGTTATTTGTTTAGTGTTGCACTCTATGTCATTTGAATGTTTCATGTTTCATATATGAGAAGAGAACGTTTCAACTAAAAGTCAACTTTGTTGCACATTTAGTATTTTGGGAATGTTGCATCTTGTTGAAACATTTTATGAAATAAATTGAGACATTTTTTTTACCAAGTGATGAAACAATTTTCTAAATGTACTGGAACAACAGCTAATATTTTAGACGTATTCTTTATCTGGAATATAGTCATATGATATCTTGTTGTGAAGATTTAATTGCAATGAATATAATGGTGTAATCAAATCACAAATAAGATAAATAACTTAAGAGAAAACGTAGTTTAAAAAGTCAATAAAAATGCTAGGAGGAGAGAAAAGCTCTACTAGGATATGCTAGGAGGAGAGAGAAGCTCCACTAGGATATGCATGTGCATGCATGCAGCAGCAAAGTACGACGCGAGTCTAGGGAGAGGTCTCAGCTTTGCACCCAAGCTTAATACGGAAAGGTAAAGAAGGCACCCGATTTTTTTGCTCTTTTGATCGGGCGTCCGATCTGTAGTAGCTTCCACATGTCCCACCAAGAAAACGAAAAAATTGCCCGGAGAAGGCGGCGAGCTCGAGCGTCGCAGAGGCTTGGAAGCGGTGGTCGTCCTCCTCCCATCCGCTTTGCGCCATCTCCGACCTCCCAATTTAACCCCCACATACCCGCGTTCCCGGTTCTCGCGTCCCCCCTTTACCCTTCCCCTGGCTCCTCCTCCTGCAATTCCACTTCCATCCGTCGGCACAGGAGGAAGGTTGCTAAGGGGGGATCGGCTCCATTCCTCATTCTTCATTCCATTTGCGCGCGTGATTCGGGTTTCTTTTCCTTCTTGTCACCTGTTTCTTGGTCGGTTTCCCGCCTTCTCAGAGGTCGGTCGATTGGATTTGGAGCCCGGGGCCCAGCCTTGCCTCAACGTCTGTGTTGTCGTGTTCTTATTGGATTCTTGACCGGATTGGATTTTGGCGGTTCCAATTTTTGTTGGTTTGCTCCGATTCTTGGTTGATTTGGTCGGAAGATGATCAAGTGGGGCATCGGTAGCAGCGGGACGCCGGCGGATTCGTATTATGAGGTCCGCTCGGATTGCACGGATGACGTGCCCAAGAGCAAGTTCAAGATCAAGGTTTGATTTTCTTAAATTTCCCTTTCAGTTCAATTCATGCGTTGGGAGTTGATTGCTGTTGCGTGACCAGACTTTTTTTTTTGCATTATGCAATAATGTGGTTCTTGTTCTCGTCAAAATAGGGTTCTTGATAGCTCTAGAATCTCGTCAATAACTTAAGAGTCTCGAGGAAGGATATAAAAATATCGTGAAAAATGGTAAAACTATGGGTGGGTTAATTAGTGAACGGATAAAATTATCCTAATACATAACATTTTGCAGATCGAAGAAATGAAACATAATAAGTGGAGAATGCTTCCGTACTCCTCTTCGGAAAAGTGTTCTATAATCTCAAAATAAAAATGCAGTTACTACATTTTGTTGGCTAGTCATGTCCTTTAATCAAACAACATGTAGTTTTTCATCCTTAAGTTAGAGAGAGGTGGTGAGAGTCTTAAGACATCCTAGAAATTGGAACCGCCATAGCCACCAATATTCAGTTAAGGACAGTGCAATTTCTGCAACATAGATTGAGGTAACTGCACTATAAAATGTAATTAATATGTTAATAGTATTTGTGCATCAACAATTGTGAGTATATGATTCAATGATGACATTTAGAAATTTTTGCTAGGTCTCAGCCTAGGGAACTGTATTTCGTACTTGTTTGTTTTTCTTTTTGTACAACTAGGAAGGTAGCCCGCGCAATTGCGCGGGCATCTATTTGTTTCTAAATGTTAAAATCTTTTATGATGACTGAAAATTGTTTGTATCTATATGAAAAGATTTTGTAAAATGTTCAATATATATAAGTTAGTCAGTCCCATATCATGCAGTTTGTTTGATACTTCAAAGCTTGATTGGAAGTAAAAAATTTGAGGCCTAGCTTGTTTCACCTATGAACATTGATGAATAAATCTATGACTGGTATCTTCAGATAATATAGAACTAATTATTCTTTGAATTTTGATATCACTATTTTTCTTAATGACTCGAGGATTTTATCATGATTTATAATGGTTTCAAATTGATCGTTCATAATTTTAAATTTAACTAAATGTGTTGGCACTGATTAATATGATATCTATAGCTTGGTTAATCTTTTAGCGTGACTCCCTAGCGTGTTAACAGCCTATAGAAGTGGTGCAATTGAGGCCATATATGCTAGATCTTTTTTGTAATTGGTGGTTTAATTGAGGCCATATAGTATCTATGGGTTAATTATTTTACACCAAATAAGATGAATGGCTTGGTACTGTAAAATATCAACAATTAGTTGAAGCTAATTTCTTTCGATCTTTGGTTTTTTTATGTAAAACATATTTTTTTAAAGATCTAATGTTTAAAATTAATGGGTCCATTTATTTAGAAGAATTTTTTTTAGAGATGTAATGGTCTAGGACAAGAGTCATGATGATTTAGCTATCTAATATTGTTTTATATAATTAGCGCTAGTTAGAAAATAGGAGAAGTTAAATAGAAAATAGGAGAGGAGGGGAGAGTGGTAAGGTGGAGGGAATATGTAAGTGCGCACATATGTGGTTAATACCCATGGGTATTCTGTTTTCTCTTCCATATTCTACTATTTTCTGATATGATCTAGACAACGGACTATCAAGGAAATACTCATAGGAGAGGATGGTTAAGTTGGTCACGTATGTGGTGTTGTTATGAGAAAAGTACGTATTATCGTACTTGTATGGGAGATTAGGAGAGGTTTATATACATTAGGATTAATTACTATTTCAATAGATCTAATGTAATGGTCTAAAATAACATGTCCATCGGCACTGATTTAAATGAAAATCGATGGCTGCATGATATATTGTTACTTTCTAAGAATTTTTATAATTTTTTGTAATTTATTAGAGCACCACATGACAGTGTTGGAGCATTTAGGAGCATTTGTACAAAGTTAATTAACTTTTACTTATAACAGATGTATGATGCAATAACTTTTTGTGTATTTATAGACCTAAGTTGAATAGATCCTAGTCGAGCCACAGAGGAAGCCTCCTTTATAAGTTTGTACTCGTCCAGTTTTCACATGTATAAAATAGGAGATGATGGTTAAGTCGGTCGAGGGAGTACATTCATTTGGACGTATGTAGTGTTGTTAGTGAACTTTTACTTATATATAACATATATATGATGCAATATTTTTTTTAGTTTATTTATAGACCTAAGTTAGATAGATTTAGTAGCGCCACAAAGGAAGCCTCATATGTACGTACATACTGATATAACGATATTTTAATTTTTTATTTGAGAATGAGGAGCGAAGGAATAATATCGTGACTTTTCAGCAAAATACGTCGCTTTTTAGCTTTTTTTTTTTACGAACTGTACATACTTATTCTTTGTCCCTTCTAATAGCACAGTATGAAACCGATCTGTGTGCTGGAATAGCATCGAGAAAATTCGTTTGCATAGTTACTTATTAAACCTAATCACCAATTATAGATGGTAAAATTTCGTTGAGCTGCTGCTGCCTGTGGATTACACCAAATGATCAAATGCTGCTGTTTGTGATTACATTGCCAGCTACTGAAAGTCAAACGCTTATACAATCCCAGTCTCGTGTAGCTCATTTTCCCCATTGATTAATCTGTGTGGAGGCTTTGATTTGAAACCTAATCCAAGTCTAGGCGGCAGCAGGAAAGCTTTCCTCTATCGAGGCCTTGAGCCCAACACGGACGGAAGGCACTGAAGTAGGCAACAGAAAGCACGATCGGATTTTTGGGGCAAGAATTTGGGTCCACCCGATCTAATCTAACGGTATAAAATAACGGGTCCACCAACTTAAATGAAAATCAACGGTGAAATTAGACTGTGCCACGTGGCGATCTAGGAGTGTTTGTAGGAACGCCATATGGCTGTTTGAGAGCGTTTGTAGAAAGTTTAATGGACTTTTAGTATATAATATAATATAATATAATATAATATAATATAATATAATATAATATAATATAATAGATAGATATGTTGTTTTTGTTCCCAAACCTCATTAGTGCATAACATATAAACCCGTTCAAGCCATGCATTTCTGGTCATATGTCTTTTGTATCCTACATTATATTCTACAAATAAATTGCTCAAATTTACTGCAAATGTGTCATTCGTTGTGGATTTGTTCTGTAGCATAAATCAAACTGCATTAGATGAAATGAACAGAGTTTCTCAAGTTGATAATTTTTATTATTCATAAAGTGACATTTGCTTCAAAATTTTGAGCATTTTCTCAGAATGGTCTTGGTGTCACACTATCACTCTATTTTCTTATTTGCAGAGATAAAATAGTCCTATCTTGTTGTTAGCTGTTTATCTTATTTGTTTCTTCATTTCAGGCAGGAAAAACATTGAGTGTCCGGAAATGGCAGGCTGCATTTAGCACTGATGGTTGTCTTGATATTGCCTCAGTCCTAAGCCGGATACAAAAAGGAGTATGATCACCTTTTTAGAGTTCTTTGTCGGTTTCAGAATAGGCTCCTCTTTAGACTTTTTTTTTTTGCACTGAGTATCATTTAATAGGTTTCGTTAATATACTGATCGGTAATTATTTCTTTTCTTCTAGGGTGTGCATCCAACAGTAAGGGGAGAGGTTTGGGAGTTTTTACTTGGATGTTTTGATCCCAGGAGTACCTTTGATGAGAGGGAGGAAATCAGGCAAATAAGAAGGTACTTTCATTGGTTCATTCCTAAACAATATCTGGTATATCTTTCATTTCATAATGCAATCTGTGTTCACTTGAAGAAATATAAAAGTTCCCTACCTTACAAATCGATGATAATGTCTGAATCCATGCTTCCACCATAGATTGAACAGTTGGTTTTTTTTTTGCACTTTCTTATAAAAAATATGAAATATATATCTTTCACATTTCATTGCACATTTTTTCTCTTGCTTTGTCCGGTATCTTTGCAATGATTTTTCTTGAAACGTGCAGGCATTTAAAATTTCATTTTCACTTCTCTTCTGTTTCAAACTAACATGATGATGCTTTTTATCTGATGTATTTTTTTATTATATTGCACTTACTGCGATTCTCAAAGCCACTTCTCTCATACACTACAATTTTGGTTTTACAAATAGATGATTTTCACAGATAAGTGATCGTTTTCCATTTCTATAAAATCAGTGAATACATGTAACACCCCGCAAATAATTAGAGAAAAGAAAAAGAGAAAGAAGGGGAGAAAAAAGAGAAAAGAGCTTAGCAGCAGCTAGCAGCCTAGCTGGCCCAGCCCACAACCGCAAGCGGCAGCAGCCCAAGCATCTAGCTAGCAGCCCAGCATGCAGCAGCAGCACAGTAGCGCCAATAATACCACCTCGCTAGTTCTGCTGAGGAGCAGCAGTTTATAAGGTGAAGACGCTTGAGTACGTGATGTTAACTTCGATCTGGATTTTTTTGCGTGAAAGGCAGGACGAAAACACCAGAGAGTTAATAGTTTATGTGTGGTCCAACTGAATGAGATGACCCAATAACCTTAGCTTTTTCGAGCCCTGGGCGCCAGAATACATTCCATTGAGTTTTTGGACTCTATTTTTTAGATAAATTGTCTTCCATAACAATAATTATTGTGAACCCTAAAAAGTATCACGTGTATAAACATGATTATGACAGATTTGTTAAACTTATTTCGGTTGTTAAATTCTAGTGGGACCAACTACCCATAAAATTAAAATGGAATTGTCATTCAACAGTTTCATATAATATCCATGTGCAATAATTTAGTATTTTGGTATATTTATTTTGATGGGGGTTCAGACATAATTTTCTCCGATGAAACATTTTCTCGACTTAGCCTGAAAATATTTTACCTTGTGCACACACAGGCTACAATATGCTAGATGGAAGGAAGACTGCCGAGAGATGGATTCTCATGTTGGTAGCGGGAAAGTGATCACAGCACCATTAATCACTGAGGATGGTAGACCCATCAAAGACCCTTTGGTTTTACTCGAGGCTACTTCATCCGAAAACACATCAGACGGTACTTCAACAAGCAGCACAAATGGAAATGAAATAGATGAATCTGCAAGCCGTATTACAGATAAGCTCATTATTGACTGGAAGCTTACTTTGCATCAAATTGGTATGCTTTAAACCCCCATTCTTTCTGCTACTTTTATACTTTATTTTACACTTCTACCCACTTATGAAAACTGTAAAATCATGATAGGACTTGATGTGCTACGTACGGACCGCACTATGGTATTTTATGAGAACAAAGAAAATCTTTCCAAGTTGTGGGATATTCTAGCTGTGTATGCTTGGATTGATAAAGATGTTGGTTACTGTCAAGGTGAGCTACTATATCTGAGTTGTGCACCTAGTGTCCAAAACAAAAAGGCTTATAGGTGTAACTTTTATACCTCAAAACAGGAATGAGCGATTTATGCTCGCCAATGATCGTGCTACTCAAGGATGAAGCAGATGCCTTTTGGTGCTTTGAGAAATTGATGCGTAGATTGGTAAGCTTTGTTCTCATGATTTTTCTCAGGACATCTTCCCCCTAATGTTAGAAATTATGATAGTGTATTTGTACTTATATAATTACATATATTTGATTCCTTTTGTGTTTAACATAATTGTACTCACTCTGATGCTTTGAATTTGAAGAGAGGAAATTTCAAATGCACGGATCAATCTGTGGGTGTGGCTAATCAACTTCAGTACCTTGCATCTATTATTCAGGTGCTTGATCCAAAGCTACATGACCACCTAGGTATAAATTTGAGATCAATGAAACTTTCAAACATTCAACCTTCTTCTCCAAAGTACCTACAATTTTTTAATATTGAGTTCTGAATGCAGAAATACTTGGTGGAGGTGATTATCTTTTTGCATTTCGTATGTTCATGGTGCTATTTCGACGCGAAGTGTCATTTGGGGACTCCCTGTATCTCTGGGAGGTATGAAATAGCGAATGATGAATATTTGTAACACTAGAATAGTTTTGCTTTGGTATGAATTACTCTTCTGAATAGACTACATATTTACAAGTCATGCTACTTTAGTGATAAGTGATATATAGTACCTTTTTCAAATAGGTGCTCCATTCATTTGTACATGTAGCCACAAAATTTGACCATCTTACTCAAATTGGGGTTGATGCTTGTGGATTAGGACATTAGGTTTATTTGTGTGTGCTTGCAGAAATACAAATTGTGATATGTTACAAGTTTTAAGGATGAACACTGTATTAATTCATAAGTTTGTTCCTTTGTGAAGACAAACACACAGTGCAGACTGCAATGTATACTTGAGTATCCAAGTGAGTTTTGTGTAGCTGCTCACGTTTGTTTATAACCTGTCAACAGATGATGTGGGCTCTGGAATATGATCCCGACATCTTCTTTGCCGCTTGTGAAGATGCAAGTGCTCACAAAAGTAAAGTATCTAAATCAAAATTGAGAGGGGTACGCCATTTTGGCAAGTGGGACAAAGACAAAGATAAAGAGAATTCGAAAAATGGATCTGAGGATACTGATGGTCCAGTTCCAATTTCAGTTTTCATGGTTGCAAGTGTTCTCAAGGAAAAAAGAGAAAAGCTATTACAGGAAGCTAGAGGACTGGATGATCTTATTAGGGTAAGTGCCACATCATTTTAAAAAATTTCCAATTCGTCTCTGTTGTTAAATATGGAATCTGGAGTCCTACATGATTTTGCGGCAAAAAACATGATTAATATAATTCATAAGAAAAGATTAGCACCCAGACTACATTAAAAGTTTGCAATCAATTTTATATTCCTCAATCTGCTATAGTTGAAACAAAGCTGATTTTGGTCTAACTCAAAAATTCAAATTGGTTTTGAGCCAATCTTGTCTCTTGTAAGATTGTATTTCATAAGCTCCTATGTTCAAGCATGTATTGTTCACAGATCTAACTCTTGACCTTTGTTTTGGTTAAGATTCTGAATGATGTAAATGGAAATTTAGATGCCAAAAAAGCTTGTGCTGGTGCTTTGAAGCTTCATAAGAAATACCTGAAAAAAGTAAGTAGCTATTCTTGTTGCGTTACTTAGGTGATAATGTAATTACTTTTTATGAAATATCATGAGCTAAACTTTCTCTAAAGCATGTCAATTTCAGAACTAAAAGACTAACATAGAAAACATATGTTGTGAACTGATTTTCTGGTGCTTATGAACTGAACACATAACATCTCTTGTTTCGTCAGGTACAGACAAAGAAACCCTAAACTGTAACATATCTTCTCACTGGGTGATTCTTTTCCATGTGGACATAGCAAACTATACTTGACAGAATGCTCGCCATCTAAAATCGGCCTGGAATATACTGGTTTGTGAAGTTACCAGCTAGTCGGTCTGAGTACAGGAAGAATGCGACCCTTGTATGTAAAGATCTCGAATTCTTTCTACTCCATAATTTTGCTGCTTGTAAAGACAGAAGGTGGTGTGGGTAGCATGCCTCTGATACACAACAATTTCAATACAAGTTGAAATGAGCTGTTTGTGGTCTGTGTGAATACTGTAGCCACACACAGCTCTGTTTTGAGAACATTTTTACCCTTTAGCTGGAGATATGAAAGACATCACAATTTTGAATTTATTCCGAATTGGAAGTGCCAAAAGAAGGTTGAGATTGCTCCTATTTTATTTTGTAGAACAGTTTACATCACGTTGCCTGATGTCTACGGATACAAGGATCAATTTTGCTACAAAATTAAGCAGCATATGCATGAAACAATATAAAAAGGTCATGCATGCACTTCTTAGATTACAGCTGACATCACGGATTAAGAAACAAGAAGTTGGTGACCAACTAATCATCACCTTAGTGATAAAGATTTATTGAGTGAGCACGGCTAAAAAAAAAATCACTTTGGTCTCTTTATGTTCTTATCCAACGCCCTTGGCCGCCTTTACCGTCATCATGGACATGCATAAGATCTTATCCGGTCAGACCAGCCGAGGAAGTTGTTTGATTCCAGGGGCAAAACGGTCATTTCATATAAAAGTTTATATCTAAAACAACTAGAAATTATAAAATCACGTTTGCGTGGTGTCTACCGGGAAAAGGGAAAAAAACATGTATTTGCAATGCACATTGACAAAGCAATATTCTTGTGGTCTTCTGTGGAAAAAGACCCTCTTTTTTTTATCCCACAACAAATTTACCTAAATTTTACTTTGAGTTCGTATATTTTAACCGTAGTTATATAATCAAAAGGTTTCAGCTTCTACCAAAAAATGAATGGAGCTAATTGAAGTGTTTTCACAAAATAAGCTAGAATTAAAGGTGGTAGGTTGTTTAGATAGGTTCACAACTTTAATCCAGACTTAACTTTTTAAGTTAAATTTAGAAGTTAGAGTCTGACCAAACAGACCAATATGTAGGTGTCTCTTTAGCCCCTACCCTTTGCTCGATCCGTGTCAGAACGGCTAGTGTCCCTCCAACTGCGCTAGGAATGGGCTACTCTCTTTAGTTGCCCTACTAAAAAAACAAACACATGCATGGTGTGCGACGACCAAAGACAGTGGTCAGTCTGGAAGAGTTGCGTCCTGAAAATATATTGAAACAGTGGGACAAAATAAAATATTTAATACATAAAACATGCATTTACATTAATTTGTCACCTTGAGCTACATTTCTTTTGATGTGAGCTATATGACTACCATTGAGCAGTGAAACGTACGGTGAAGCCAGCACCGTATGATGAGCTATAGTTTTTTAATGTGACTATATGTGGGCAAGCGTCGGGGCCAGAAACACCGATTTTTCTTACGGGGCCAACAACGTTAAAATTCTCAGATTTTGCTAAAGCGAAAACAAATACATTGAATATATGTAAGGCATGAAATTTTTGAGTTCATTCCGAAGGCTGAGCTTGGTTCTATTTTGTAGGACACTGTACATACGCATTCCCTGACATGTCCACGGCCGGATACAAGGATTTTATTACAAAACTAGGCAATATATGCATGAAATAATATAAAAAGAGGTGACATGTGACACAAGAGTTTGCAACAACTTCGTACATGCGCATGCACTCCTTAGATTACAGCTGACATCACGGATAGAAAACCAACAATTTGATGACCAAAGAAGGACTATAAGTATAAGTTTGTGTTCAACGACTTCTTGATTAATTTATTTATTGATCAATTACCTTGATGTAGGCGATGCAAATTCTTATTTACTGTTCTTTAGGGCATTCAGGCAAGTGCAACACCATGGTCTCAATGGTGAAACCAGGTCCAAACCCCATCATCACCCCCCACTCAGCTGATCGACCGCCTTCTTCCTCCTCCATCCGCCGCCGCTGCTCGTCGAGCACGAAGATCAGCGTGCTGCCCAGCATGTTGCCGTACTCCCTTAGCACCTTCCGGCTCGCCGCCAGCTTCCCGGGCTCCAGCCGGAGAGCGCTCTCGATTTGGTCCAAGATCGACGGGGCTCCAGGGTGCACCACCCAGAAGAGATCGTTCCATTCGACGCCGGCGAGGCCGAGCTGCCGGAACGCGTCGGACAGGAGCTCGTCGGCGTTGGCCGCCGCTAGAGGTATGAGGTCCTTGATGGAGACGTGGCCGTCGAGGCCGTGCTCCGTGAGCCGCATGTTGAGGGCGTGCTCCGTTCCCGGGATCACGGCCTGCGACACGGCGACCATCTCGAAGAGCGGGCGCTCGACGGGGCGCACGGCATCGGCGCCGACGATGACCGCGCCGGCGCCGTCGCCGAACAGTCCCTGGCAGGTGAGCGTCTGGGGGTAGTCCTCCTTGAGGCCATGGAACGCGACGACGTTGAGCTCGACGCAGGCGACGAGGACGCGCGCGCCGCGGCTGTTCTCGGCGAGGTCCTTGGCGAGGCGCAGCGCGGCGGCGCCCGCGGAGCAGCCGCTGAGGTGGAGCATGGTGCGGCGCACGGTGGGGCGGAGGCCGAGGAGCGAGGCGAGGCGGTGGTCCGCGCCCGGGGCCTGCGCGCCCGCGTTGGTGGCCACGACGAGGTGGGTGATGTCGGCCGCGGGGCGGCCCCACCGGACGATGGCCCTCTCCGCCGCCTGCGCCGCGAGCTCCGGCCCCGCGGCGGCGGCGATGTCCAGCCGGGCGTCCAGCGACGGCGTGGCGCGGTCGAGGAACTCCGGGTGCGCGGCAATCATCTCCTCGTTGTGGTGGAAGAAACGCTTGTCGGCGCCTGATGCCTGGCCTGATCAACCATACGAAGCAAAATGAAACAAAAACACAATAATCAAAGATGACACTTAGCTAGATCCTAGTATATCATGTGATGTTTAAGCCCTTATGGTAGATGAGACGTTAATTTAATAATTATCATCGTTACTTTTGTTATCTGGAATAATTGAGTTAATATATATGTACGCATCTTACATAGGTTGTTGAGTTTGCGTTTGAGGTCAGTGAGGTGCTCTGTGTTGGTGATACGGAAGTAGTAGTCGGGGTAGTCGGCTTGGGAGATGCAGGTGACCGGGTTCGCGGTGCCGATGGCCAGCACGGCGGCGGTGGTGTCTGCACGCTGCGCACGACGGATGTCGTGGACGGTGACATGGCTGGTGGTTGCCATAGTCTCTCTTGCTGGGGCTTTGGTCTAGGAGAGGGGAGGGGCCGGGGTATGCGTTCAATCTGGAGAGACGAGTGCTGGACATGCTAAGCTCTCATCTTGGGTAATTTATATACAGGCGCAAGCAAGGCGCTCTGCATCATCGATAGGAAAAAAAAAAACGTACGTATTGCATTGCTCTCTCTAGTCTTCCCCCACCATGTGCAACCGTAAAGAAATGCTCCGTCCAACAGAAATCCGCTACACCGAGAAAAACCGAGGCTGGAAAAACCAAAACATGCATGCTTCAACCTAGAAAGAAAGAACTACTCCCTCCGCGTTTGATGTTTCAGGTTATAAGATGTTTTTACTTTGGTCAAAATCAAGTTGTTTTAAATTTAACTAAGTTTATAGACAAATATTGTAATATTTATATTACCGAATTAGTTTTATTAAATTAATAATTAAATATATTTTATAATAAATTTATCTTGGGTCGAAAATATTACTATTTTTTCTATAAATTTGGTCAAATTTAAAGCAGTTTGACTTTAACCAAAGTCAAAACATCTTACAATCTGAAACGGAGGGAGTAAATAAACTACACTTCAGAGCACTTAAATTTTTGCCAAAAAAAAGTGCATGCAACAATATGAGCTCTTAAATTGTTGTAAGAAAAACGACAACTATAAAGCGTGCTATAACATGAGGAGAAAATTGCAAAACCATCTTATATAAGTAACATGAAGATCGTCATTTCACCCTATAAATCATTTTATTGTAAATCCTTACCCTTGTTGTAAAAACCACCCTGGCCCGTGCACATGTGCTTAGCCGTATCAACCCGTCATCGCTGATGTAGAGCCACCGCATTTTAAGTTAGCTGAGATAATCATGTCCAAGTGCTTGTATTAGATTTATTCTTCATGTTTCATTGATATTTTTTTTTCATATAGCGAAACTCAGTGCGATACTTTAAGCTTTCATCAACAATTTATTTGTAGAATATCAAAAAAAAAGTGTCAACACTATACTTTTGGAAGTATTAATTTTGGTAAAAGGCACATTAACATCTCGTAATTTAAAAACCATATTGATTCAACTAATCACGGGCACATTGGGGTGATTTTTATAACAAAATTGAGTGGGGTGGGCATTTACAACAAAAATGACTTATGGGGTGGAACATCAAACTTCAAGTGATTTAGGGTAGTTGTTGCAAATTTACCTAATATGAGCACTTCAATTTTTTTTTTTGGAAAAGATATACCGATCATCACATGATTCACATATCAAATAATTAATTACCGACTATGTAAATTACATAGTGTAACACCAATACATGTATATTGGGCAATGTTTATTGAATTCCTCATGTTTTTTACTGTCAGTAAAAAGTTCATATCGAATGCTAGGAAGCGTGATATGGTCCATCAAGGCACAGTACAGAACTAACATCAGCCATAATGTAGTTGTGCTTAGGGCATATGTATACGTCTCCAAGCAGCTAATTAAGCAAACAGAAAGACTAGGGAACAATATGCCATCTAGACAAGGGATAAATTACGAGTGAACCATATTTCTCATGACCAGATCAGACACCTACTTACCTACTGATCTTATAGTTGTACTAATGTATACGTAGTAAAGTTTTCTACCATTGTATTTCTATGGTACTCTACATCTTTTTACGCAACCAAAGTCCACACGAGAGGCCTGCTCCAACACTTCTCATCTGGTATGTCTTTTCATGCACTGAGTTTAACTTTGACGTATATGTAGTATTGTATTGTACTGCTGGAGGATATAAAAGGTCTACAAGTTATTTGGTTTGATACCTACAGATACAATGCCTAATACCTGTGTACCGTCACTAATACCCAATAGTACCTGGTCTGATACCTTGTGTTTGATACCCGATGATATCAGGTCCGGTACTCAATGGTGTCAGGGTTAATACATATCTCGCAGCTTTACATGACCCATTAATTTTAGCTTAATGCTAGCACAAAATTCAAAAGTACCAAGCAACCTATGTAAGCATCTATTAGGCTAAATAGCTACTACTACATTCATATCTGGTATCGCATCGTGACAAAAAAGGCCGTGAAGGTACAACGTGTTATCTGGGATTAATCATAGAGTACAAAGGATATGGACTGTGGGCTATTAGCCTTCTATGTGGGAGCTTATGCCGTACCTCTCTAGGAATATAGATATAGGTAGATTCCCTTGCATAAACGCTTGTCCTAGGTGCTGAAAAAACCAATACTGTACGTACATAGACCAACCGTTTTTGCGTCTGCTTACTCAACTACTCCCTTTTGCTAAACTGTTTTTTGGGACTCAAAGGATCCAGTCATTTTTCTACAACAAAATATGTCTCTTCATCAGAACAATGAATCCAGACGTTCTATTGCCTTGTTGATCACTAAACTAATTCAAAACGAGATGTAGTGGAGACCCTATAAAAAAAAGAAAGAGAGAAATGTAGTGAAGGCATGCATGCATATGAAACACGCTGTGTCGTCAGTCACATATATATGTTAAATCCTGTTTGCCAGTCGATTACATAATTGTATGCTTGGTAAACTAATTGCAATAAGATATGCATGAGAAGGATCTCAAATAAAATTAATCTAGCTAGTTTTACCCATCGTGTAAAACAAGACAATGAATCTAGCACACGCATACACACCACATGCCACAAGTACATACTAATGTCGTTTTATATATAAGACCAATTTAGTTGGTCTTTCCTTGTATAGCACAACCAACTTTAATTGATTTTCGCTACTATATACTCCCTCCTTCCCTAAATGTTTGACACCGTTGACTTTTTTAAACATGTTTGACCGTTTGTTTTATTTAAAAACTTTTGTGATATGTGTAAAACTATATGTATACATAAAAATATATTTAACAATAAATCAAATGATAGAAAAAGAACTAATAATTACTTAAATTTTTTGAATAAGACGAACGGTCAAATATTTTTAAAAAAGTCAACGGCGTCAAACATTTCATTTTAGTATGGAGGTAGTATTAGACTCCGGACCACCAACATGGCAATATTCAAGTTTACCTTCGCATAGATCCACAATAAGTTAAAATGCATAACTGCTCCCTCCGGTCACTAATAAAGAAAGATGTTTGGGACTTGGTTGCAGCTACCAAGAAACAATTAATCATTGGTATTTCTAATCAAGCTATATCCCTACTGACTACTATACACATATAGTAATTTCACTGTAACTCTCACACTTGGTCAAATTGAAACACAACATCCTCCCTTTCACTGACGGCTAGAAAAAGAAAAAAGCACTTAGGCTATTTCCAACCCAAGACAACATAGTTTTCATAAACTCTACATCATCAAGAAACTAGTACTCCCTCCATTCCAAATTGATCTACATATAGTACTTTTGAAGTTATTCCTAAATGATCTATATATTTGAGTTCATTTATTAAGTCTATTCGTTATTTTGCATTGGAGTAAATGGATATTGATGCATGCATCTATGCACACAAGTATGTATAACCCACATGCAATATCTTGATTTGCTATTGGCTAGAAAATAGTGGGGATGATGTATGCATTGAGTTTGTTGCAAGAATAAATATAGTATGAGAGAGTTATTAGCTTTTCTTGGTCTTGGTGTACCTATGAAATATGTAGATCAATTTGGAATGGAGGGAGTACTAGACACTACTCTTCCAATACAAAAACCACTATTCCATACTTAAATTTAATGTTACTTATTTCACATGATGTCTTGGATGCTGTGTAGAAACCATGTCTCATGCATGACATGGTTTTTTTTCTCTTTCCTCATTTATTCACTTGCTACATCATTTTTTATTCTATGTGGCAACTTATTTAATGCTATGGATATCATTCTAATTATTGAGTTGGAAATAGCCTTATAAAGGTCTCCCACCATAACCCATGCAGGTAAAACCTGCCATTAATTACATCAGTGCTGGTTTATATAGGAGACCAACCGGCACTAATCACTAGAGGTTATTTATGCCGATTTAAAAAACAAGCCGGCACAAATAAAATTCTATCAGTTATAGTCATTTTTCCTTTGCTAGAGCATATGCCTCTCATTCTCTTTCTTTTGCCCTTTTTACTGTTTTCTCCTCCTGAGTGTATACATTTCTCGCTCTATTTTCTTTCCACCATCCTATCCTCATTCTTTTCCTCTCCTTATGTGAGCCTCTCTTTCTCAGTCTACTATTCAACTCTTCCCAGCCTCGATACGCTCAGGGATGACAATTTTACCCATGGGTCCGGGTATCCGTGGATACCCGACCCGATGGGCACGGCGTGGGTATGACTTTTTACCCATGGGCACGCCCGCCCGAGACCCGAAGACGTTATGGGTAATAGGAGGGTTTCATTTTTTACCCGTGGGTAACCCATGCCCGACCTGATACATATGTAATTCTTATACCATTTCTCTCGGTTCATTTGTGATGCTAACTGATACTAAGTTGTGATGTAATTCAAATTATTGTTGATAAACGATAATTTGGTAAATTATTGATTTTATTTCTCTTTGTTAAATTACATATCTTTTAAGTTATTATTCATGTGAGATCCATTGGGTACTCGCCAGATATACCCGTGCCTGCCGGGCATGGGTACGGGCACGAAGTTTTGCCCGCTAACTCTAGTGGGTAGGGTTTGGGTGGGCAATGTTGGGTCGGGCACGGGTAGAGCAAAACCATGCCCGACCCGACCCATTGCCATCCTTAGATACGCTTCTCCTCTTAATGTGTCCCAGGGGCGGATCTACAGTTGTAGGACCGGTGTCAGGCGACACCGACGACTTTCGGTAAAATCTATAGCGAAACTGCTTATTCATATACAATAACACTATGATCTAAGTATAATTAGCATACTATGACACCGATCGACACGTTCTGACACCAACGAATTGATTTTCTAGATCCATCACTGATGTGTCCATCTGTCATACGAAGGTTGTCGACCCCATCTGTGTCATATTGTTGAACCCGACCTAGCGGAGGTTACTGTGCCACCGTTGTGAGCCAGCGGGCGAAGGATCTGACTAGTGGAA